TTTTGTTTTTTTTCTTGCAGGAGGGGTTCTGTGAGTTCTCTCACAGTGCCAGAGAGCTGAGCCAGGACTCGTCCATGAAGACCGCTCTGTTTGCTGCTGCTAGTGTTGGCCTTGCTGGACTCACCTTCCTCCTGGTGCGCTGAATCTGAAGTTAGTTCTCATCCATGTTCTCATTCCATTTGGCCCATACGAGTGGACATTTGAGTTTTTCATTTTTTAATGCTGCAAAACAGGGCTTAATCTGTAGTAGATTCAGGGTTGTTGTCTCATGTCATCAGCTGAATGTTTGCACACCCTCAAAAACCCCCTCCCTCCCACACACACACATGAATACTGACATTTATTCACCTGCTACTTGAGATTGTAAAACGATCTTCTGCCTTCATGAACTTTGAAGCAGGTGATGTCAGTTTATTTTTGGCAGATCCCTCCAACCGCCCCCCCCCCAAACACATACACAATCATCGTCATCTCAAAGGTTTGTGTTTTCATTGTGCAGCTAAAGAATCTCTTTAATTTCTAATGATTTTTTTTAAATTGCCTTTTTTCACCTGTTTAGCTGAGTTGTGTATGTGGGATAGAACCATAGTGTACAATGTATAAATTAATATATTATATTTATATGAACTGAGACTGTAAGGCAGTAACCCTTTTCTAACCCATCCACAGCAGAGTCAGTTGTTTCCTTCTGTAAAGTTATCTCTGATGTGAAACTTCTGATGTGTACGATCAACACTTAGCTGAGGACATTGCTGACAGACCCACAACGGTGCTATGAAATGTTGTGAAATGTTTTTCATATCAATTTGAGTGAGACCAGGGACCAATCTGACTAATGACATATTGCTTTTACAACAAACTGTTGCTAATGCTTAAACATTATATTTTTACATTGTTTTGTTCTATTTATTTGTCACTGTTTTTGTAATAAAGAAATGAATGAATCAAACGTTGGTGCTGCAGCAGTGAGATGTGACCATAACTGCTTCTGGATAACAGTGAGTAGGAAAAAAACTTTTGGTACTTTCCACTCATGTGGACACAGTCGTGAATTAAAGATGTGGTGCTGTCTGACGCTCCGGTTATACCGTGTCAGGCCTCTTCGGGGACTTTTT